GGGGGGGATGCTCACCCTGTGGTCAGACTGGTCAAGGGGGAGGAGAAGCAACCGGAAGCCTCGCACACTTGCTAAAACACGCATCTGGAGCATGCCTGTCTCCCTTGGGTCGGTTTAGCCATTTTGTGTTTAGTATTTTTTCCTTAATAGAGTGGATTATTTTATATGGGTAATTTATTTGTGCAGATGTATCACTTGTCCTGTCTGTTCACTGAAGACTTGTTGAAATGTTCTATAATGCTTTGTGTACAGGAAATGTGTTTGTTTCTTCCCCTTTTTAGACCCAGAATATTACTGGAGATAAAAGCATTAATCCATTAGCCAAATTATCCAGTTCCCCAAAAATGAACTTGTAAGTTTTTTTTAGTACTTTGAGCCTTAACTGCCCTTTGAAGTGTTAAGACATCTTGTGTTTTTTAAAATGTGTAGTTGCATGCAAGTTTACTTGCAGCTGTTCACAGGGTAAAAAAAATAATAAACTCTTGACTCAGATGTTCATAATTAACAGGACTGTCACCGTCTGCCTGCGTTTGTTCTTTCTGTAAAAATTGTCATTTTATTCCCCCCCCCCCCCAACCGCCAGAAACATCAGTGTGCATCTGACATCTGTGATGAGAAAATAAAAAATAGTGTCCTCTGTAAGCTCAGGAATATCGACTGTTTGTGTACATCATCCCACTAGTCTTCTGAACAAATCTGAAATTTCGCGTAAAAACATTTCTGCGTTTGTAATTTGTTTGTAGGGATGTGGATCTAATTCAGAGGCCGGAACCTTCTGGAAAGGCTTTCAGGAAGGAAGCCGGTATCCAAGATTCTTGTCAGGCAGACGCTCGGTCCTTTCTGCTGTTAGCAGTTAGCGTTAGCTGAGTGACACGGATATAGCTAATCAAGCCTGTTAGGCTTCAAAAGATGCCAAATGCCCTTCAGAGGTTTCTAGGGTCAGGGGTGAGTTATTCATTTAACGGGGCTGGAGTTTGGGTTCTGCTGTTTCTTGTTTAAGGCATTAATGAGGGAAGGGGGTGCAGTGGGTTTGGGTCAGCAGAGCAGAAAGGTTGTGGATTGGAGCCACAAACATTTACTCGGTTAGATCTGTATGGTGTTTCAGCTCTTCAGAGCTCGAGTCTGGTTCTCATTAAAGGGGCATCTGTTGGGGCCGTGTACAGTGGTTTTGATGGGAAGTCTGAATTTATGCAGTCTAAGATTGAGAAATGTTTGGTACTTTATACTCTATACCAGTGTTTCCCAACCCGGTCCTCAGGGAGGCCCAGACAGTCCATGTTTTTCCTTCCTCCCTCCGAGGAGCAGAAGTACAGACAGTCTGGGAGGGAGCAAAAACAGGGACCGCCTGGGCGTCCCCACGGACCGGGTTGGGAAGCCCTGCTATATACTAATTAGCCTTGTGATATTTCTCCATATCCCCACAAATATGGACCATGATTGAGCTTGGGGGATTTTTAACGGTTGCCACTATGTGTTATATACAGGGGTGTAGCTAGAAATCCCCCCCCCCCCACTAGGGTTACCTCTGTCTTCCATGGTAAAGTTGGCTGGGGAGGTTCATGAAATGTGTATGAAAATACAGGGCAATCCCTTAATATAAGGGTGGCAATTTTACATCTAAATGTATATATTCAAGGGCCCCAAGTGCTGGGCCCCCTGAATCTGCCAGGGTATCTGTGCCCCTACTGCGCCCCTGGGTAGGGCCCCTGTAAAGTGCTGGGCCCCCTGAGTCTGCCAGGGTATCCATGCCCCTACTGTGCCCCTGGGTAGGGCCCCTGTAAAGTGCTGGGCCCCCTGAATCTGCCGGGGTATCCGTGCCCCTGCTGCGCCCCTGGGTAGGGCCCCTGTAAAGTGCTGGGCCCCCTGGCTCTGCCGGGGTATCCGTGCCCCTGCTGCGCCTCTGGGTAGGGCCCCTGTAAAGTGCTGGGCCCCCTGAATCTGCCGGGGTATCCGTGGTCCTACTGCGTCCCTGGTTATACTTATGCTGACTGAGCCAGCAGTTGTCTTGAATGATGAATCCTTGGAAAGTTGCCCCACGGTCTGATTTACAGGAGGGACACGTGGTTTTGATTATGCCCGTAATTCTTGGCTCTCAGTCAACCAGCCCCAGAAGATCAGTCATTAAAGGGGGAAACGGTTGCAGATATCAGTTGTATTGGGATTTTCAGATATTCCTTTCAGTAAATCCTCCTTTACTTGATTGTTTACAGTTACACGGCATATTTTACAAATATATAATTTATAATAAAATTACCAGTTTGATAAGGAATAAATTGAATATAGTTAAAGTATATCTATTCCATGTAAGACTAAAATATGTAAGTGATAGAGATTGGGGTTTTGTACTGAGTCAACAAATTAAGTTTTATTTTTTTCATGAACAGGAAACAGGTGGGGTTTGATTGATCAGAACTTGTGTAGATTTCATCAAGATTATTTTTCATTTATCGCTCCAAGAGTTTGTTCTGTATACTTGATATCTTTTGCGCACATAATGACAAATTGATTTAAAACATCTGTTTTACCATTAAGTAATTAATTTTCTGGGCAAATATCAGGATGTATTAAGCAGGCAGCGCAATGATTATTGGTATGTTATTCCTCCGGTTATATAGGTTATATATATTTGCCTGTCGATTTTAAATAGAGAATATGTGGCTAGGGCGATGTGGTGCCTTGTTGAAATTGCCCTCCGTCCTTGAAACCTTGAAGTGTTTACATATCTTGGACATCACCAACAACAGGCTAGATGTTTAACGGCCCCTAAGCGTTTCCAGATGTTATGCTATCGCTGGGTTTATATATACTTTCTCGAACCCGAAGCTTTTAAGTAAACTTTTCTCCCACATGTCAAAGACATTTGACTGTTGGTTCTTCGCTGCAAGTCCGATGAGTTACTTTTATTAAATGCAAGCAAAATCCCGTATGACGTGATCAGTGGCACGTGGAGTGGTACAGTTCGCATAATTAATTAATCAGCTGCACGACGCCCGCGAAACGCTTTTAAAATGCAGCCTGGCAATCTGTATAATGGTGGGTCGCGGGGAGGGGGGCTGTTTAAAGTTGACATAACGGCGTAGTAATGCCGTTGACTGATAAAGAGTGATGGAGCAGCATGAAAAGGCTCCCGATCGACTGCCTTACTGCTTGCCATTTGAGATTAGCGCCAGCCCGCCCCCCGAAGCCACCCAGCCAACGCGAATCAACTGGAGCCTGCAAAGCCAAACCAGCACGCTGCCCGTCCCAGCGCCCCGACAGCCGCGCAGCCTCTGCACGGAGTTGCATAATAAAAAGAACTTTTACTCCGTTAACGGTAGATCTTTTTTCTGGTAAGACGTTTTTGTTTTTTAAATGGCACCCTGGATTTTTCTCCTTTTTACTTTTGTTGCTGTCCTTAATGCGCAAGGTAAGCAGATTTGCAACTAAGTACATCAGGAATATCTATGCGCTTAAAAAGTGATTCCTAGCTGTAGTTTAAGCAGATGTCTTTGCTGACTTGGGTGGATTCATTTGCCGGGTGATGAGACTGGGACGTTTAAAGACTGACTGTATGCCGAGCAGTAAACTTACGGATACACAAATAACCGTTTAAATTTTTTTTATCAAAACGGCGCATACAGGCTAAATATATTTAAAAATAATTATACATACACGTACATCTTTATTGTTATTTGTAAGATTTGAAATATATAAGATGTGAGTTTGCAAGTTTAACCTGAACCTTTTCAACTATTTTGCATAAGTGAATCTTACGGTTACAGCCAGTTAAATAAACAGGTGATCTTTTACACGTATTTTAAAAGAATTTTCAAACTTGCGAAACCATGTCGATTGCCGTCAGTTGTTCAGATAAATCGCACGACGTTTTTGTCGCGACTGAATAATTTAAATGGTTTGTTTTTTTTGTTTTAAGTGTGCCTCAGTTAATACATCGGTAGAAAGATTGATACACTCAGGAGTGTACCAGTTAATAAGGGAAAGGGCGATTTTCTTGCATTTTCAATTAACGGGCACGTTCGATGGACCGTAGGATTTGTTACTTCGCATTTCTTGCTTGGGCGTTGCGCAAGTCGCACCAGTTCTTGCGCAGTAATTTCAGAGCGCAGTTCTGTCGCTCCCGGGTGACCGTGTCACTTCAGGGGGGCTGCCAGGCTTGTAGGCAGGTGATCCGGAGGGTACTCCCGTCTCTGGCGCTTACAGATGCCCGATGAAGATTAAGGCTCACATGGACATACGGGGCCATGGGGTCTGGGCCGCGTCTCTCATGCTTGGTGGCTCTATTAGTGTTAAAAGGACCGAGAACCTAAGGAAACGAAGTAGATGGGAGCATATTCCGTTACAGGGACCGGGCCTCCATTCATTTCGATGCCCTATTTCTATCATCATGCGTTTCACCACAAACACGAATGGAAAGGGTGGAAAAGGTAGAACACTCTAGAAAGTTTGTCACCCGGCCCCCTTTTTCCAGTCAGCTTGGATATTTACGTTTTTTTATTCTGCTTTTGTGAGAGAAACATCCAGAGATTTATGCTGCGCTGCCTCCGGCGAGTTACATTTCAGGGGTCTGAATTTTTTTTCCCCGTTTTCTTCGCAGCGAACCGCCATCTCTTCCAAGCTGTTTTGGCAGTTGTTTAATGATAATGACGTAGGCTAAATTCTCTCCAAATCGCCGAGGCTGCCAGTGTAACAGCACCAGTGTTTTTTTCCCCTCCCTTTTTCTTCTGCACTTTCCAGAGGGCTGCTGGTAACATTTATACGTGTTTCTTTTGCTGGGTTCCAGGTGCACCTTCTCGTTCCGGGTTTGCAGGGAGCCTAGCCGGCCAGAATGACCTACATTGAGACTTTTGCCAGTAAAGGCTCATAAAGTTTGAGCTCGCTAGGTGTCCGTCTCCTTTTCCCTTATAATGGCACAGCGGCGACCACAGAAGCCATGAGGCCAACTGACTGGCCGCAAAGGGGAAATTATGTCTGCATTGCTGGTGGTCATGGGTGGGACCACTCCTTCTCTTTGATCCTCTCAAGCCAGAGCCTGTGGCCTCCCAAACGCAGCCCCTGTGCTCCAGAAAACAGCCATCAATCTCCCACTTTAGCCCAAGACTAGCTTTTCTTGCAGGGGTATATGGCTTGGTTTTCAAGTCCCTTGTATTTCATTTTTAAAACACTAACAACAATGAAATATTTTATTGTTGGGAATGCTGTCTCTCACTCGGGGGGAGGCATACCCAAGACATGTACGGTTTGACGACGAAACACCCAAGGTCCTTTCATTTCATGCCCCAGGGTTTCTGAGATTCTTCGGTACTGATGGAAGGCTGGTACTGCAGACTTTTGCTGCTGCTCCCACCAGCAGACATATTACGACACGTCAGGCAAACCTGCAGATATCACACTGGATTCCATAACAGATAAATGTAACATGCGACTTTAATTTCTATCTAGGCCCAAAGTTGAGAAAGTAATTCTTGGATGAGCCTGGTAGGAGTGTCTTTTGGTGTTTTTCTGGTTAATCATTGTTCTCAAATCACGGAGATAAACTTGCCTTTAATCAGTAAAGAGAACATCCCCCAAAGTTCGTCTACTGCTTCTGATAAAAGTAATACTAAGATCTAGTTAGTGTCACTGTCTGCTGCTGATGAAAACTGGTGAGCAAGTTGTTGGTGTCTGTGTGGAAACGATTAGCTATTCGCTGCTACTGCCGTTGGTAATACTTTTACTTGCAGTTTACTACAAATGTGAAATGCTGATTTGACACAACTTTCAGTTGAAAGTTTTACAGAAGTAAATTTAAAACACTTGCAGGCAAGTATTATTGGGCTGTTGCCATGCACAGTTAATTCTACAAAGTTTTTTTTTTCCTTTTGTTGAGGGTCATTTTACTGTTCCAAAGATCTTGCATTGCCGTAATCATGCAGTGCCCTTGCATGGTTCCAGCAGAGCTGGGCCGTACCAGCAATCAATTCCTGTGACGTTAGCCTTTCAGCAAGTGTAAATAATTGTATAATCCGTGCAGTAAGAGGACAGGCTGCCAGTCCACTTCCTCACAGCACATTCTTTTTCAGTTAAGTACTTTCCAAAATGTAAAGAAATATCCTTGAGCGCACATAAGTCATAAATCTGTCCCGGTTTTGTCCGTAAATATCCATTAAGACGCAAATGTGAGGCCTTTTCTATAGCACTGGTATGTTTAGGAGAACAAATTTATAATGAGGATGTGAGGAAAGGCATAATGCAGTCAGACATAACCTCCAGCTTTCAATTGTTTAAGGTCAGTGTCCTTTTAATGAAACGGAGTTGGCAGAAATGTGTGAAATGTGCAGATCTTTGGACTTGGGCAAAAAGAGATGATGCCTCCAGCAGATGATCCGACAGAGTGCTTGCAGGAATCTTGTTTGTGTTTCCAATCCACGGTAAATAATACGCCTGTTTGGGTTCTGAAGATGGCCTTCCATGACAGGCCCAGTGACACCACATGAGTCACCGCAGTTAGATATAGTAACAAAGGTGCTCCGCAGATTAGCTCCCAAAACCCCGCAATCTGCTTCTTGTTTGCACTGACAGGGATGGGGGTTATGGACTCAACCCTCATGTTTAAGAATCCAATTGTCTGTGATTCTATGACTCATTAGCCCCCCCCCACCTTGTTTTGGACTGAAGTCACACCCCCAGATGGTGGGTGTGATTGTCCCATGATGTATAATTTCGCCGATCTCATTGCAGTCCCTCAGTGAGAGGGATTGTATTCTCATTCAGCATGAAGGAGCAGCTGTGTAAGGTCTGACAAAGCGTCTTTTACATGTACGCCGTTTGGGGGGTGTACGCCGTTTGGGGGGTGTACGTCGTTTGGGGGGTGTACGTCGTTTGGTACCATCTGCACGGCACGCAAAAAACAGCAGCCTGTCCTACAGTCCCAAGTCTCCTCTGACGTCCAGGACGGCAGATGTGATTCATCACGGAGATTTACAGGGTGTGTGTGTTTGTATGGGTTTGTAATTATTACACAGTGCAATCCAGATTTTCCACAATTTGATAAAAACCTGTAACTTTTTACCTTATGGGGACATTTTTTCAGTCCCCACAAGGATAACCTAAAATTTGTGCGTGCAATTAAGAAACTAAAAATGCTGAAAGTCTAGTATTTTGTTTGGTTATTTAAGATTAGGCCTGGGTAGGGGTTAGGGTTGTCATTCTTGGGATTAGGGTTTTTCCCATAGAAATGAATGGATGGTCCCCACAAAAATATGAATACAAACATGTATGTGTGTGTCTGCGTGTGTGTCTGCGTGTGTGTCTGCGTGTGTGTGTGTGCGTGTGTGTGTGTTCTCCCTCAGCAGCACTGAAGCAGATGTCCCTGGCCGAGTGCTGCAGGGCCGGTCAGGAACACGGCCAAACGTCCCAGGACTGTGCCTCCCTGCCGCTTCTCTCCGAGTTCCCGGCATGCAGGTGGGGGGCGATGTTGCTGGGTGGGGGGCTGCATACCTACTGTTTTTTTATGAGGGGATTATGGGGTAGTAAAAGCCAGCAGGCACAGCACAGAACTGTGTCATGTTTATAGCTATTAGAGCAGCTGAGGAAATAAATGGTGGGCAGCAGCAGCAGCCTGTTCATGGACGGCCTCGCCGCACTGAGCGCTCCCACCCTGCTGAGACTCACTGTCTCTAGTCGCATGACCATGGCTGTAGCAGTGATGACCACACTGATTACGTGATTGACTGAAGCAATAGTAACTGCGGTAGTCATGTGATTGTGACTTGTAATGACTGCCCTGATGACGTAACCGCAGTACTGATTGGATCAAGTACAATAATCACAACATGGCAATAGTCATGTGACTGTTGTAGCTCTGACTCCAGTAATGACGTAACTCTGGTAGCTGTGACTTCAATGTTGATGTGACTGTAGTAACTGTGACTACAGTAATGATACTACTCTAGTAGCTGTGACTCCAGTAAAGATACCACTGTAATAGCTGTGACTCAAGTATTGATGTGACTCTAGTAGCTGTGACTCCAATATCGATGCAGCGGTAGTAGCTGTGACTCCGATATCGATGCAGCGGTAGTAGCTGTGACTAATATTGATGTGACTGCAGTAGCTGTGACTCCAATATTGATGCGACTATAGTATCTGTGACTCCAATATCGATGCAGCGGTAGTATCTGTGACTCAAGTATTGACGTGACTATAGTAGCTGTGACTCCAATTTTGATGTGACTGTAGTAACTGTGACTAATGATGGCATTACTTTAGTCACATTACTTTAGTTCTCTGGATGATGGAAATGAATAATGAGCTCCATGTCACATAATCTACCTGTTACTTGTCAATAAATTTTCCTTCTTTTTGCCAGCTGATAAGAGACCAACCGAGTGTAACTCCATGGGGTGTTACATTATTTCCTGGGCCCTAAGATCATGGGGGGGCAGTGGGGGGGAGCAGTGCTAAATCCAGGAAATACTTAGGAGGTGAAACCACACTGAGAAAAGCAGAGAATAACAGGAAAACTGAGGGTCTATTTCAGGCCCTTAAAGAGACGAAGGCAGAAAAGAATAACAAAACCAAGTATTTGCCCTTAAAAGGCCCTGTGAAGGACGAGGCCTTTTGTTATGAGAGGATTGTACTTTAAAAAATACCTCATGGGAAGAGACACTAGCATCAGGTCTTGGGGAATCTGTGAGCTCTACAGATAATATGCAGCAGCAGACAGTCTAAGGCAGATATGGAGCTGAATGTAGCCTAATACAGGTTTAGAGGGTCTTTCACATTCTTGTAGAGGAACATTTTAGATGTATCTCTTGGTTGATTGTTCTTGCTGTCCATACGGCAGCTGAGTATCCAAATGATGTTTACCTAAATTATTACATAATCAGGCATGAATAGCATCCTCAGAGACTCAGTGATGCTGCTTATTTGACAACATTGAGCTAGACGTGCCCATAACGCTACACCCCCCCGCTACACCCCCCACTACATATTTGCAAACTGACTGGCTGTGTGTTTACCAGACACCAGTCAGCAGTCAGATGGACACTGACGGTCATGTGGAGCCGGTATTCGGTGACATGCCGACCTAAAGGGCAAATCAGCAATGAGAAGAGCTTTGATTAGTAGTCAGATGCTTTTCCTCTCACGCTCATGCTTGAAAACACTTCATGCTGTGGGGTGAGGAGAGCAGCATTTCGCAGGGGGGCCGCTAAAGATTTTGGGCCCCATGAAAGCATATTATTTTGGGCTCTGATTATGCTCCAAATTTCTTAGGGCTCGGGGGCCCTTAGAATCGTCTTAATTTCCCCCCCAGCTTTACAGCGCCCCTGGTCTCTGGCCTGCAGGTGGTAAGGGGGGGAGGGGGGGGGGGGGGGAGGGGGGGGGGGTTGTGAAAAAAACTGGGTGTGACTCCCCTGTGCCTCCATCTGAATGCCGCTTCCACGCCTGCTCCCGCACCGGCAGGATGGCTCAGGAGCAGTGCTGCACTGCCGTCCTGGAGAGATCGTCCTGTGAGCAGGGCATTGGCCTGGCCCTGGGGGAGGGAACGTGCGAAGTCCTCTCAGGAAACGCCTGCGAGACCAGAAGCGCCAAGGTGAGGCTGCCTTCCTGTGTCACACTAATGTCCTATATAATATAATGTTACTCACGCTGAAGCTGCCCAGTGTTTGTGCTAATCTCTACAGGGTAGCCATGTTCACCAGCGATCCATATTCAAAACATTAAGATGGTATTGCGTGATTTCCTGTTCTGGACAAACTCTTCCTGTCCCCGCTGGCCAGATGTGCTGCCAGTGCTGCATACTGGGCCGAGAGGCTCTGGCGGATGGTCTGAGCTGCGAGTTGAAGCTGCCAGTGGCTTACCAGTGCGGTGCAGTGTCCCACCAATGCTGTCTCCAGGGCTTGGCTGAGGCGACGGGCAACGGCACCCTGGGTAGGAGTTGTCATGGCAGCATGTAGCAGTTCATTAGATTAGAAGTTGTGTATGACTGGTTTAGTTAATCGCCGTTGCGTCTTCTAGCTCAGGACGGGCCCCCTCCGTTAACATCCTTGGGGTAGCGTTGGATAACTAGGAGTGACATTGCCCTCTGGTGGCGATGAACGGCACGTGCGATAAAGCCTGATGTCCAGTTTGGCCCAACCACTCCTATCCATCTTGGCTGTGGAACCAGCTATAATAATTGATCCTTTGCTACAGGCAATTAATTAACGTTTGAACATGGAGATCCATGCAACTCAGTGATCTGTACTAAGGTTTGCACAGCTTACAGGTTCTGTGACTGATTGAATACTCTTCCCCTTTACACAGCCCTTGAAAACAAACTGCCTAATGACCAGGACGAGGACCCCCTCAATGACAAGTGCACAAGTATGTAGGGGGTGCTCTCTCCCAAAGCGGGGGGTCAGGTCACTCTTATTTGGGCACCTTTTGCAGAAGTCGGACTTCCTGTATCTACATATGCTTGGCAACACAACCTGGCAGTGTAACACTAGATATGGTATGAGTGCAATGGGCTGCCTTGCACTGCCATTTTAATCCAGTGGGGGTGCACATTTCCCCCTGTCAGGGGTTTGGGGGCCCTCAGACAACCGGAGTACTGACTCTAATGAGGAAGCCTCACTCGTCCTTGCCTCACATCCCCTGTGGGGATCTGCAGTGTATCCTGGGGGTGGTGTGTGCTGTGACTGACAGCCCTGTGTGTGTGTGTGTGTGTGTGTGTGTGTGTGTGTGTGTCTGTGTGTCTCTTGTGCTTGATAGACACTCAGTGTTCTCAGCGCTGCCTTGGAAACAACTCCTGCGGCTGCTTTCAGGGGTACAGACTGAAACCAGACGGTCGAAATTGTGAAGGTGAGTCTGCACCCCTCCCTACCCCAATAATGGGCCCCCATCCCGAACATGATTAGTTATTAAATCCCCCAAATTTAGTTTCTTGGCGTATTGAAAGCACCATTCTGAGTGTGTTGTCTTTATCACTAGATGTCCAGCCACAGAGGCGGGCACAACGCCAGAGTGATAAAGAGTGATAGAGTGACACACTGTTAGTGATGCGTATTCCTGATCTGGGAAGGCCCTCGTGCTGCGGTTTGTGAGAAAGGTCCTCGAATCCTAGGTTTCTCCCCCCCCCCCCCAGACATTAATGAGTGCTTGCTGGGTGCCCACCACTGCCAGCTGGGGGAGCAGTGCATCAACAAGGACGGCTCCTACCGGTGCCAGCGCGAGGCCAGCTGCGGTACTGGGTACGAGCTGACGGACAGCAACATCTGTCAAGGTGAGCCACCACGCCACCTAGTGGCGGGGCTCAGAGAAACAAAGCCTTTTAATGACATCACAGACTCATGCACACGGGCGTCAGCTGGAATCAGAAGACTTATCGGATTCTTCCCTTTGACAGATATTGATGAATGTGAGATTGGAACCCACAACTGTGGCCAGGAGCTTGTGTGCCGAAACACACAGGGCTCCTTCCGATGTCAGCCCCGTCACCAGTGTGGGCCGGGCTTCTTCCAGGACGCCCTGGGGAACTGCATCGGTGAGGCCCGATTACACCCGCATGTGAAGTGATTCAGTACCGGGCAGGAGATGATTCTGCGGCATGCTGGGATACGCCTCTCCATGGTGAAGGTCATAGTCCTCCGGCGTATGACTGTCCCAATCTCCTCCACCTTCTCAACCGGCCCAGATATCAATGAGTGTCTGAGTCAGAGTGCACCGTGTCCGGCGAGACAGACGTGCATCAACACCGTGGGATCCTATGTCTGCCAGAGGAGCTCGCCGAGCTGCGGACGGGGGTACCACCTCAGTGAGGACGGCGCACGCTGCGTGGGTACGCATCTCCCCTGTAGGCCCTGGACTGCCTAGACACCGGCGGGCATCTCGGAATCGCATCTGTGTGTACATTGTTCTGTTGTTGACATGTGATCTGCCAATGAAGATACCTACTCTGGAGACTGACAGCCTGCCTCTCTCTCTCTCTCTCTCTCTCTCTCTCTCTCTCGCCACAGACGTGGATGAGTGTATGGGAACAGACGGGGCCTGTGCTGGCCATAACTGCATCAACACGGTGGGGTCCTTCCGCTGCCAGTGCCGTGCGGGATACACCTTCAACAGCATCAGCCGGGCCTGTGAAGGTACAACTAAACCCCCCCCCCCCACCAACCACCACCACCTTTTTGGAGCAAAGCTAATCGGTCCTTGTCAGGCACACACCTGTCTGTTTCTCGAGCCATGTGAGACTCACCTCACGCTCAAAAATGTTTCAGATATCAACGAGTGCAGGCATTTTCCAGGACGCCTCTGTGCGCACAAATGTGAGAACGTCCAGGGGTCCTACCAGTGTAGCTGCACCATGGGCTTCAAGCTGGCCAGCGATGGCAGGAACTGTGAAGGTGAAGCTAGTTATGTACATCAAAAATAGCTACTAACTAAACTAAAACTGAGCACTGTAACTGCATGGAGTGACATCTGACATTTTGCTTATTTTTAGATTTTAAATGTTTTCTTAGATTCAAGGTGGCTATTGTCTGCTTACCAGAGGTTTGTCATTGTGTAGATATGATTCTTACATGTCAGAGTAGTAATGAAACCTTTGTGCCACTGCACAGACGTGAACGAGTGTGAGAGTAACCCCTGCAGTCAGGAATGCGCCAACGTCTACGGTTCCTACCAGTGTTACTGTCGCCGTGGCTACCAGCTCAGCGACGTGGACGGAACCACATGCGAAGGTGGGTCACTGCACTCTGCAGTACTGAAGAGAAGCTTTATTACTGGTTCTGTAGGTGGTCAGTAGTTATGAATACTTCAGCGGGGTATGGATCTGTACCCATGTCCAGAAGGTTATGAGTTAATGACTGCCAGAGTCATCATATGCACATTTGAGCCAAACTTTCCAACGGACGCTGGCTGACCCTGATGTCGGACCCCAGGCCTTATCACTTCTTTATGTCGCTTCAGACTGAAGTGTTTGCTAAATAAATTAAAATGTAAGATATTTCCTCTGGTAGTCCTGAGATGAACACGGCTTCATAAATCCAGCCAACTGCTTTTTATGTCAATTTTGCTTTGGATCAGGTAGCTTCCTACAGGCTGCGGCAGCCCCCAGGGGCCTTGAAAGAACCCGCAGCCCCCAGGGCCTTGAAAGAACCCGCAGCCCCCAGGGCCTTGAAAGAACCCGCAGCCCCCAGGGCCTTGAAAGAACCCGCAGCCCCCAGGGCCTTGAAAGAGCCCGCAGCCCCCAGGGGCCTTAAAAGAGCCCGCAGCCCCCAGGGGCCTTAAAAGAGCCCGCAGCCCCCAGGGCCTTGAAAGAGCCCGCAGCCCCCAGGGGCCTTGAAAGAGCCCGCAGCCCCCAGGGCCTTGACTGGACGTAGTCCTTGGTGGCCACCGTGCCATTGGCATTTTCTTTGACGTGTCACCCTTCTGTGTTCACAGACATCGACGAGTGCGCCCTCCCCACGGGGGGGCACCTCTGCGCGTACCGCTGTCACAACGTGCCCGGCAGTTTCCAATGCAGCTGCCCCCCCGTGGGCTACACCTTGGGGCCCAGTGGCCGCAGCTGCCAGGGTAAGGGAGGCTGCACACAAGGCCCCCCCCATAACTGAATCAGAAGGCATCATGGTGTAACTGTTGTTGTCTGGGTAGAGCAGCGATGGGCCGTTCAGGTCCAGAGAGTAAAAGTCCAGACCAAGATTTTGTTTCACCCAACTAGCTGCGTACTCTGCGGCTGTGACTCTTTATGCTCAACTGGCTGGTTGAAACAATTTTAATCTGGACTTTTACTCTCTGTACCTGAACTACCCACCTCTGGGTTTGAGGGTGTTTGAGCTGCTAGGAACAACTGGCCAGTTCGCGTAGCAGCCTCTCTAATGCAGCTGCCCTTCTCTTGCGCAGACGTAGACGAGTGTCTGACTGCGACGCACAATTGCACTGAATCGGAGAGCTGCTTCAATGTGCAGGGGGGATTCCGGTGCCTGTCGTTTGAGTGTCCGGACAACTACCGCCGGGCAGGAGAAATGTAAGTGCATGATGTCTCCTACGCCCCCATCCATCGTCCCCATCCGTCGTCCCCATGTCCACACGACCATGACCGGACCAAGACATGAGTCAAGTCAAGTGGAGTTTTATTGTCACACAACCTATATTCCATGAACTGCATTTGGTGACGCAAAGTAACCCTCCCCAGGACTGCAGTGCTACAGTCAGTGCAGTGCAGACGTCTATGGCAGCGATCATTATATACGATGTTTAAATGATATTCATGACGTAAAACTGTATTATGCCTGTCAAAGTGTGTCAGCTTAGCCATTTTAAAACCTCTCAAAGTATTTTTTGACTCGACTACTAGCATCCTTCAAGTGGCTATTCAATACCTCCTTGATTTTTTTTAAAGCAAATGAATTATCGGAGCTGCTTGTGAAATGTAACAAATATGTGAGATGGCTGAGGTGCCCCTGAGGAGAGGTTTGGGAGCCAAAGTAGTGTTCATCTAGCCATCCAGCAAGATATCAGTAACTTTTCGGAGATCCTTCCTGTTAGTTTTTATTGTGTGTCTTAATTCACATAATGGCATTTTTGTTCTGAGCAAATATATACTTACTACCCAGATAAATAGCTTTAAACATTTCCATTGACTCCCTAAGACTTTTGTACAGAATGTACAGAAGTTTTAGTCTGTCTCCCTCAGCTCTATGGAAATAGCTGCATGTAAAATGTTGACAGACGATCAGCTATTTCGAGCGTGAATATGAGATGGCTCTGCTGGTGGGGATATACGTTCTGAGGTCGTCATACCTTCCCTGAAGTGGTGGCCCAGATTGACAGGACACATGCAGAGGAAAAAAAAAACAGTACCAACATGGATGTAAAATTACATGGATGGTAAAAGTAAGCAATGATGGAATACTGAGGATGGACAGTAGAGGGAGCAGCGGCGCACATGATTGGGCTGTAGGAGCAAGTAATAGACAAATAAAAACCATAGATAAATAATAGACAGGTGCGGACTTGCCCTTGGGGAGTTCAGGAAATGTCTTGGTGGGCCAGTATTGTGAGGACCAGTGCATCTTCTTCAAAGCTGGTGATCACGATCTTTGAAGCTTTTCACCAAAATATACCAAGGGTACCCGCCCCCCCCCCATCCCCATCTGTGACAAAATATGGCTGCTTAGGGCCCAGTGGTCACCTGGGGGCTGTCAGAATGATGGGAAGGGAGATAAGAAATTTTGCTTAGGCCCCCGGAAACAGGTGTAAGTCTCCCCCTGATTGATGGCTGTAAGTTGGGCTGTCAACAGTTTCAGGGATACTGCCATGGTCAGTTCTAATCTGTCATTACTGAAGGAATTTATGTTGTGTAACATGACTTTGTAGTTTGAGTTGGAAAGATGGCACCTGGTAACATTTAGGTAAGATGTCTTGTCTGGTGAACTTTTATGTGGATGATCCGGGTGGGTTTTAGTTTGTCTCTCTCTCAGCTCCATGGAAATAGCTGCATGTTAAATGTTGACAGACGATCAGCTATTTCGAGTGTGAATATGAGATGGCTCTGCTGGTGGGGATATACGTTCGGAGGTCATCATGCCTTCCCAGGAGACAAGTGGTGGCCCAGGAGCTCGTCCAATGAGGGCTTTTAACTGGCCCAGGAGCTCATCCAATGAGGGCTTACCGCCCCCTGAGCTCGTCCAATGAGGGCTTTTAACCAAAGTCTTAGTGTTAATTCATTAATAATGAATCGTGACGCATGTTTTATCTCAGTTACTATATGTTACTATGTCTAATTCTGAAAACTTTGTGAACTACTGAAGGAACAAGACGCGAATAACACAAGTGAAATACTGATCTCATGTTCGTTCATCATTAATGAATCGTGATGCATCTTTTATCTCAGGTAGCAACTATATTTGTTCATCATTTGTGCTTCAGTAGTAATCGAGTTATCACGAAGTATTTGAGCCCCTTCATGTAAAATGTTACCAAATAAATCCGTAGTCTTTACTACACCGGTATGGCAGAGGTGTGGCACCTGTCCCGACCCGCCCCCATGTCGTCGGACTCTTCGTGCTGGGTGCACCGTAAAAGAAAAAAGCGAGAGTAACTCCATTTATTAAGCCACAGAGTCACCGAAACATGACAACACAGATAAGTTGCTCTTCCACACTGTTGTTGGACGTCTGTAGGAAGCTGGGAGGCTGTAGATGGCTTAGCGACCTCTGCTTCGCTGCTGAAGCTGTCGTCACTGCGCCTCTTTGCATGCATGCATTGCGCTCTCATCATCTCTCTGCTCTGTTAGTCTGTCCCCGTCGTTTTATTTTTTCTCTTTCTCTTTGTTTTTCTCCCTTGCAGTCATTGCGAACGCTTGGCTTGCGATCACAGTAGCGAGTGCCTGGCCTTGGCCTTACGAATAACCCACTACCGCCTCACATTTCCCACCCACATTCCCGTGCCAACCGACATCTTCCGCATGGGCCCCTCCAACTCGGTCCCCGGCGACGACATCCAGCTAGACATCGTCAGCGGAAACGAGGAAGGCCTCTTCGGAGTGCAGGAGCTGGCCTCGGGCGGGGTGATTATGGTGCAGCAGCCAATCACAGAGGCCAGGGATTTTCAGCTCACTGCCAAAATGAATCTGCGACGATACGGGACGGTCAGCACCTACCTGGCCAAAATCTCGGTCTTTGTCACCCACGAGCAGCTTGACACTCTGTTTGCCGTGCCTGACGTGTAAACCAGAGGCGTGCGGCCCGTTATCTTGTTAGCCGTGTCTGCTGTCTGGGGGATGCAGGTGCCAGTAGCCTAGCGTGCATTAGTGTACGTGGGATGTGCTCTGTTCGATGTCCATTAGGTGGCGCTGTAGGGCTAAATAACATACCGAGTGCAAAAAAGGCCTTAGGCTATATTGCAATGTGTGAAAGATGTGCATGCAGTATTTTATATGGTATTTCTTATTTGATTTTGTCATGTATTAGCTCATATTAATTTTAAGGATGCTTACTACTTTGTCCTTCTTTTGTACTGTTTGACCTGAAAACTATGAAAACTAACACCATTTTAGTGATAAATTCAGAGTAAGTGGTGACTCTCCTAATGTTTTCCATGGAGAATTAATTTATTTTAATTTTGTGACTGCTGAGGGAGAACCCATTATCTCACAGTTCAACAGAATATTTGTTAAGAACAGAGTAAAAATTAAAAAAGAATTAAAAATGGATAGAAAAGGTGCATGTCTGATTCTTATTGTAGCTTACATGTAAATTCAATTACCAGGCCCATTTTTGCTCCGGTGAGAAGGTTAATTGTCACTGTGGCTGTTAGTAAAAGTGACGGATTTTTGCTCCGGTCCTGTTCCCAGGCTGTTCCCTTAAATATGTTCTCTCCTGAATTTTTGGTGTAAGCAATTTGCTTCATATGTGTGGTCGGCATGACCGAAAGTTTCTCTTCTTAAATTACTTAATTTACTGCCAGCAGCAGTGATCAGGTGCTTTGAGTAACGATGCACCTGACTAATGGAGGATCTCTAATTCATGGAGCTTAGCTGGTCCAGTGTTGAGGCTGTCGTGAACGGGATTCTGGGAAACGTGTGCTTTCACTATCCATTTTGATCGGTTTGCTGTTCCTGATGGGAGCTCCCATGCTGGTAACTTTCAGATGCATTCACACAATTTCATAAATCACAGATAATATGATGGACTGCAGGATTTCTGTGGCCTCAGGTATACAGGAGTATGCCAACAATTCAACAGCGGTCCAGAAAAAATATCCCTGAGGATAAGCCGTAAAAATAGACAAAAATGCTGCCCAATCAGTCCTTGGACTGCGGCTTTTAATAACTGCAGCTTCACGCTATCCAGATGCCTCGAGAAGAATAAGGATACACATCCTTGGTGGTGACATCCTTAAAATAAAGGCATGTTCTTGTTTTTTTTTTTGTTTTTTACATCCTGACATCCTGAGTTATGGGGCTCTGGGTTCTGGCTGGTGGTCTGTACAATTTGTGGTAGGGCGCCATTGCTGTGGCGAAAATGAATGATGTCCTACCATGTTTTTGTTGGGGATGTATCAACATGTGGACTATGAAAAGCTATTCTGAAGAAGTGCTCCCTCTTAACCAAAATATTCCTATCCAAAGGTCTGCTTCTTCTTATGCTAGGAAATTGTCCGATTTTGCGTCGAGCCCAATGGGACACGTGCATCGCTCTCTCAATAAAAAAGCAGTGAACATGAAAAAATAAATTCCCTAAAGAAAAGAAACACGGTGACAATTAGCCTCTCACTTGCCGTGCGCCTTTGATGTCACTCAACTGGGGTCATTATTTCCTCGTAAATTGTAGTCACTTGGCTCATGCCGCCCGAATCTCCAGATTTAAGTATAAGCAGAGGTTTTATAAACAGAAGGAACATTTTGTGGCTTTGGCCAATGTAGAGGTACAACTTGGACTCACTAGCTAATTGCTAATTAGCTTCCCTCACCATACGGTGGCTGGATTATTTATCAGGGGGTCCTTACCCCTCTCTACTTAAATCGGGCCTGTAATCCAGCATTGAGCTGGGGATTTTCCAGCTGGTCGGCATGGTGAAAGCAGACAGGCAGGAATATAAATCCAGCGTAGTACTGATATCCACCCCCACCACCTCCATGCACTCACATTATTAACGCCCCTAATTGCCTGTCCTCCTTTTCCTCTAGGGCTTATGCTAACAGTCTGCCTGATATTAATGTCACCTGGCTTGGGTGCAGCCAATCATACCATTTGATCGATTTATGGAGCACTTCTGGCCTTGTGAGAACAGCCAAACTGAGAGGTGATGACAGGCAGATACAAAAACTTGGAACAGCCTGTTTCATCTCGTGGTCAGGTTTAAAGGAGGACCTTCAATGCTTATATTTAACATTCGTCAAGCAGCCTGTCAAATGATGATGCTGGAAAACAGGCACTTTCAAAGTCACCTTGAGGGGTCCTCGAACACTGCCCACACTCCAGGTCGGAGGGCATCCACTCGTGCCCAAGACATTGGTGGTTACGAAATGAAATGTGGCCTACTTTCAACAATCCACAGAGACGAGGGCGTGGCCTATTCATGTCATTAGGAACATAAGAAGCTCTCAAGAACACTGGCCCAGCAAATCTTCCCAACAACATGATGGGCTTTGAGGCTGGGATGCTTGACAAATCCAAATATTTTCTTCTGCAGGCAACAGACCGCATTCAGGCTACAGTAGTATTTCTCTCTTTAGAATGTGAATTTCAAAAAGCCTTTTGCACTAAAACCTTGTGGGTTCTTGCTTTATATGAATTCCTTCCCAAAAATCATTATGTATGAAATATTTTATCTGTCTGAGTATTTTATTGACTCCCTGGCTCCAGTGATCCTTTTAGTGATCCTAAAGGAACTTTAAAAGTTCTTTACAAGTATTGTTCTCATTTTTGTTTGTGTTTTTTGCTACTTTCCAAACATAGCTGGTCCGGACACTACAAAAAAAGACGTGAGGACAGTCTTGCAGATACTTAAAGCAGTTTTGTTGTATCTACGCTACACCCTTACTGATTTTTGGGGTAACGATGTGGGAGGGACGCTATGTACACAACTGAATGAACCTGATGGAAATCTCTTCAACTTGCTTTGAGAAGCATGCAGATGTGCCCAGAGCCCTGTTTCCCCCTCCCTGCTAGGCCCGTCCGTTGTGTGAAATCCTGCCCGCCGAATGATGCAGCCTGCCTGTCAGATCCCGTTCAGTCCATCTCTCACACGGTGATCTCTCTCCCTACCTTCAGGGACTTCGTCAAACCGGAAGGTATGGCTTCTTCCTCATTAGCCATTACCTCAGTCTGTCCTTGTCCAGTAGTAGTTTAGTTGAAGTTCTCGCTTGGATTCAACTCTCCTGATGCTTATTGTTCTGCCATGTGAGGTAACAGATTCAAGTCTAACCCAAGGTATAGCCCATGTCATTTTACCTTCTAGAGGTTCTTGTACAAATGTATGAAGTACCATTGGTGAAGATTCCTGTCCAGTTATGAGGGTGCTGTCTGTCCACAGAAATTGTCTTCTTGAGAACCAACTCCCCAGCACACACGGCCCTGAGACCAGCTTTCCCCAGCATCATCTTTGACATCCTAGCAGGCAACGTGCACAACTCTTTTGACATCGTCAAGCGCTATGAGCAGAGCATGGCTGTAGGTAAGTGAAGTGGGGGCTGTTTCCCTTTGGTTAGCTCCATTTGGCGTCTATTAAGTTTTAAGGAGCCTCTAGACCAGGGGTGGCCAATCTTATCCGCAAAGGGCCGGTGTGTGTGCAGGTTTTCGCTGCAACTCCCTAATTAGGTCACTAATTAGAGGACTGATTGGCTGAAGAGTCCTCACACCTGGGTTTGAATAGCTGACCTACAGGTTATCCCAAAAACCTGCATACACACCGGCCCTTTGCGGATAAGATTGGCCACCCCTGCCCTAGACCGATGCGGGGGGGACGTTGTGGCTTCCCGAGCCCTTCTCCAAACTTCACTCCATGGAAACTGTGTTTGCTTTATGATGTCACATGTATGTAGGCTTCTGAGAATTAGCTGAGAAAATAAGGCTAGCTTTTGATATCATTAGTGACATCATTTTGGTTTGTGTTAATTATTAGATGTTGTTGAGTTTCGTTAAGGTGCAGGTAGGCAAATGTCTTTTGCCCTCCACCTAGAATCTTTTAAGGTGGGAGGCACATGAAGGGCCATAAGTCATACAGAGGGGCCAACCTTATCATTAGCCAATGATATGTTTGGAATTGGTGAGTGACAAGGGAGGGGGCGCTCGGAGGCCAATCAGCTTGCTTTGAGAAGCCAGTGTATCCCCACCCCCCCACCCCTTATATACTCCTGGCGCCATGGTTGGATGAATGCGCTGTTCCCAGTACTGTTGTTAGCTTCCAAAATTGCAAACTTCAATACCAAGAAAAATATTGAAATTTTAGATAATTTTCAATGCTCAACACAGTATGTGTTATGTCCGGGTGTCGGCGAGCGAACAAGCAGGCGAGTTGAGCCGTGAATACGGGCAGAAACGGGGTTTATTTGCAGGGAAAGGAATAACACGGCAGACAACATCAATGACGGATCTGGGGAAACTAACTCAGACGCAGACTAAAATGCACAGGACAAGCCGAAAATAACAGGCAACAGGTGATCACAATCGGGAATTAACACGAGGTAACGAGGGGGGCGTGGCACACAGGAGGACTGGACGTGCAGGTCATGACAGTATGTAACATTCTTTAAATTGCAATATTGTTTGCAGTAAAAACTTACCTTTTGTAAACTCATCTAAATCTAAAGAAAATCTTCACATAACATTGACAGTCAAAGCATAATAATATTAAGTACAGTAGTAGCCATTGTAATCACGCTCAGGGACATTCCCAAGCAATAAATAATCACTATTAAAAATGAGATGTTACTTTACATAATTACAATGCATAATAGAACAAATATACATTACTTTTACATACCTTCTTTATCTTGTGTCTCAAAGTACAAACACTTCTAGCAATTGCATGACCTTAAAAGCTTGTATCTGAATGATCAACACTAATCAACATGGCGTTACAAGATCATATTGAACTGAACGCGACTTATGAATAAAAATAATTGCAGATCATTGTCTTATTAATGCATGAATGTTTGACTACAAAAAATGTTTTAACTAATAGAAAAAAATGCAAGTTTAGATTAACATTAATATTTAATTAATACAGAAATAAGATACCTATCTCTCAAAACTTTGTATTGTGTTGGATGTCAGTCCCATTAATGTTTCAGCAATTCGTTATGTTTGCCCCCTTTGTCAGTATTGTCCATAACTTTGATACAGACTTGCATATGTTCTGTGGTTTGCCATCTTCATTTAGCATAAAGCTAATGCATTTCCAGATGCCAGCTACACACTCTATCGATTTAGCACAATTGCAAAAGCTCAGACGCTTCTGAACTAGTCAGCTTAAGGCTGAACATGTTGCGGGCGTGAGACCTGCACATTGCTAGCCTATGAACCTCAGCGGTCAGAACCAACTGGAAATGCAGGCTGTAGAATCGATACCATGAAAAATTAGTATTGAAACCGTTTTATACACAAGAGATTCAGGTACTTTTAATATTTCCAACAGCACCAGTACCTAGGAATCATCCACCCCTGCTGTGTCTCAGCTCACACCAGGCCACGTGTCGCCCTCATCATTCCTGCAGCTCTGATGCAGTTTGCGAGCAGTGCAGGTGGCCGCCCGCACTAAACGAGCCGCTCGGCTTACGTAATCACCAAAGCGTCATTTGAGAAGCATCTGCAGTAGCTGATGCTTAAGCTATTAGCTGCAATATGCGCAGGAATGGTTTGACATCCATCAGCGTGTGAGTCACCGGCATCAGAGGAGCCCTGATCTTCTTCCCTGATAGGTTTACAGGGGTGAGGACTGAACACACAGATGTTTATTGGTAAAGGCACAGGCCACGCCGGCGGCAAAATGCATCACACTGTTATTGCAGCAACTGTTTCCTTGGATCATTATTGAATGTATTCGCTGATCAACCAGATTCACTTAAAGTGGTTTATGTAGCGGTCAGGCCAATTGGCCGTGCCTCAGTCCAGGACTGGGCCCAAATGATCAGACCACAAGCAGAGGGAGCGAAGCCGAGGACTTCGACGGCTGGAAAGGCCGCGCTGCAGTCGTTCACCCGATCCATCCATCACTGTCTCGGCAAAGGCTTGCCTCGCTCGCCTCGCTCGCCCGTGCCTGGATAAAACACGGACGAATCAGAGCATCTGTGCAAACAAATCCGACCACGTTACTCGTATATACCCACAGAAGTTGGAAAGTTTTTCTTTTTATAGGAAAGCTTTGTTCCAGTCTTATAAATGGCAGAAAAGTAATTTTTTGAAGCCAAAATTTAGAGTGTGGAGGCCCGGCCCCCTCAATACCCAGCTCCGCAAGGACACTTTATGTTTCATTTCATCTTCCCCTGATATAAATCTCTTCCCCCTGGCAACCTGGCATGACGACCCATCAACAAAACAATTTCTCACGTTTTGTTTCTGAAATTGGTGGCCATCGTATGCTTATTTGGAAAGAAAAGCAAGTCCCTTGTATGAATGCATGGCACATCTGTAGCTCCCCTTTTAATAAAACATTGGGCTGCTAGCATGTTTTGCTAATTGTTTTTGCTAAAAGTAGAATGCGTTATTTTTGCCTGTTTTTGTTTAAAACACAGTGAATAACACAGTAGGGCTCAAAGCATCCCCAATAGCACTGTATCTCCAGTCAAGCAAAGCACCTGGAAAAAACCCTTGCTGACATGTTTACTGCACTAATTTCAGTGTGTTGAACAAGGCTAAGAGTTAGCCTGCAATTTTGCACTGCTGTAATACCTCAAAAACAATACTGGTAACTCGTCGAGGAGCTAACCACGGTTAGCGTGTCACACACACTGGCCAAAATGCTGGTATTCAGCATTGTGGTGCAGGCCATCCTCATTTTCATTCACATCGGTGTCAGTCCCACTTGTTTCCAAATTTGCCAAAACACCCAAGGTTGCAAAAACCATCAATCCAGTAAAAAACTCTACTCTGCACTTTTAACCAGTCAACACTGTAGCCCTTATGGTCGTAGAGGATGAGAGTCATTCACTGGTATTCATTACATTTTGTTTTGTGGCCATGTCTTTGCTACTAGCATGCAGTTAAAGCTATTTTCTACTTACGAGTTATTTTATGGTGTTGTGGAATGATGTCAGAACTGTGCTCTCTCACGGCTGTCCCTTCTGGGAGACCTTGTTACTCCAGCCGGGAGATAACACTCAAGATGATCTGAAGCTCAAGATGATGGAGCAGGATTAGCAGGGTTGCCAGATTTGGTCAGCTGGTTGGCATGAGATTTTCAATTCAGGACAAGTCTACACACACACATTTATTTACATGTATGTAACAGTTCTATTACCTTGTGAATCAGGGATGTCAAACTCCAGTCCTGGAGGGCCAGAGCCCAGTGTAGCTTAGATCTTTCCCTGTTCCAACCACAAATGATTCAGCTGAAGAGCTGTGTGGTCATTAGCACAAGGAGGAACAAGGAGTTGAATCAGGTGTGTTAAATGTGGGGAAATCCAAAAATGTGTAGGCCTCCAACCCTCCAGGGGTTTGACAACCCTGTTGTAAATAGTCTGTCGCTTCGTATGTAGTTAATTTCAGGATTATAATGGCGTGATATAGATTTACCGTAAGATTCTTTGCGTGAGAGTCTGAAAGCATGAGGGTCATTCCAGATGCATGAGGGTTGGCAGCCCTGGATTAGCCATCAGAGGTTGTTGCTGATGCACCCGTTTGGAGGTGAGGCTGACCGACTTTACCAGGTCCAAGACCCTCCATGAGGCCTATAAAGCAGAAGCACATTAACTTACTCAGAGGCCCCCGGGATTTTTGAGTTATCTAGGCTCCCCTACTATTTTTTCTACGATGGTGTAGTTGTCAACTGGGGGAGGGGGATGTGGTGGCGGGAAAATGTTGTCGAGCAGGGAGAGGAGTGGCAGTGGTAAGAGTTGTCAACTGTGGAGGCTTCAAATTCTATTAAAGAAGGTCAGTTGAGGCCCCTTTTTCAGCCTGGGTAAACCTATGCATTAAAGAGTCCTTGTCTATAAGCTAGGAATGGAGGGAAATCTGAATCACCACTGGCCATTTGTCTTACCTCGGTTACCCATGGGACAGGGCAGGGAGTTACTCTTAAATGGAGTTTCTATTGACTTTTTGGACTCTTTGGAAACTATGTAGAGCCCAGAAACTGCTCTACAAACTTTGGTTTTCACACACTGGGCGGTTTCTCCATCTCATTTGTCGGGAAAATATGTCCTTTTCTGCACTCCTTCAGTTTTTCGCTTTCTTGAGCGCATGATCATTTGGTTTGTAACAATTCCATCGTAAAGATGTGTTCTGGCAGCGAAGGGTAATCGCGGTGGCTTTCTCTGTAAAATGCTTTCTCAAACACATTCTGTGAATTTGGTGTCTTTTTTTTGTACTAGCTATGGAAGAAACCAATCTTTGGAACTCTGTTCTCCGTCAAATGTTGTGTTGTTTACGTCAACGGGATCCAGTAACGTGACCAATGAGGTACGATATTGGTTTCCGTCGCTTAAGTGGTTAAAAGCAGTTGGTGACTGACAGCACGCGGCTGGTGACTGACAGCACGCGGCTGGTGACTGACAGCACGCGGCTGGTGACTGACAGCACACGGTCTCGTTCATTATGGGTTTTAGAGCCTCGTCTTCCATCACTTCTAAGCATTTTTGTGCAATTCCTTGCAATGGCCACAGGGTGGCTCACTTTACAGGATTAATACTCTAAAGATATTGACACTGGAACCATGGCATGTCACAAAAACAACATATGCACACATATGGGGAAAGGCTCTAAAATTTGGCGATTGCTACCAAGGTGCTGGTGTCGGTAGGTGCACGCCCCCCCACTCTCATTCTGGTATGACACTGCATGTTCCAGCACCAGTAAACAAAATCATTGTCATTTGCAAAGAAATGCATCTTCCCTTGTCCTGCGGGTTCCCTGCCAGTACTGTAGGGCATGTGAGTTCATGCAGATGTGTCCTCTTAATGGTGATCATGGTTTGGAAACAGTGAAACCCGGTTTAATTTCTTGGTGTGGAGTATCACTATGCAACCCAAGAAACTAAACTAAACTATGCATCCTTAAAACTAAAAACAAGTGGCAGAGCTGGGAGTGGGCCCCATTCCGCACGAGCCAGTGCTTATCGTCGCTATCTACAGCATCATCGCGTTTAGCTAGACAAGGCTCATTTTCCAACAATCTGGGGGCGAAGATGGAGACCAAATGTACGGTCTACATGGCCACATCGCGTGACTTCGGAAGCTGCTTGTGTTGAACATGTGGGTTTCATTTGGTGTCATGCCCTACAGACAAAGGGTGCTACAAACATCGCCCCCTGCTGGGAAAGGGTTTGTAATGCATAGCTCTGGTCATATATCTGCCAAAACCACGTCCATGGCTGCAGTATGAATGGCAGGAAGATTTGCAGACTGCTAAGGGGGCAGTGAGCGGGCATCCGATGAACCGGTGTGACTTTCGTGTTACCTGGCAACCCCCAAATCTCATTAATCCGTACCCGATGACTCAAAAACACATCCAATCCTGGTACCATTGTAGCAACCTGCACCTGGCAACGCGGTAAAGAGACGCCGAGTGTGATAGAAGGGCAGGCGGAGACCCAGGAGACAGTGAAGCGATTGTGTGGCCTGATTGCACTCCGACGATGGCTGTTCAAACAGGACCGAGCTGAAATGACACCAGCTTTGCACAAAGAAAGGGGTGCTGACAGACTGTATAAACACCAGATTTTTTTTTCCTCCCCCTGTAATCGCATGTTCACTTAAAAAGGGCTTCCAACAAATTCTTTGGACGTTTGGTAATTCTTGGTCATGTTTATGGTTTGTTTTCCCCCCACAAAACTATGATATAGGGTGTTTTGCGTCCCGTGGGAGAGGGAGGGACAGGCGGAGGTTGGGACTCACGAGCCGGATTCACTTAGAGAGGCTGTAAATGTCTTATCACTCTAATCCGGCGTGAGTATCGGCCTAAATCTGTGTGGTAATTTTAATTACCGTTCTGTTCTTCATTAGGCGAGATCTTAAGCAATTCTCATTGCTTATATAGTGTTGACAAGCTGTACCTCATCCTTGTGATGGGTAGATTAGTGCAGCGTTGCATAATGTGCATCAATCAGCGTTGCATAAGTTGCTGGTTTGCAGTGCTGTGCAGTCTCGGGGCATGTGCGTGTGCAGTGATGTCCACTTTGTCTCCGACAGGTGTGGTCCGCCAGGTGAAGCCCATCACTGGCCCATTCTACACGGTCCTCAAGCTGGCCATGAACCACGTGATGTCCGGAGTTGTCTCTTACCGCAACATTGTCAATGTCCACATCTACATCTCCGAGTTCTGGTTCTGAGCCGAGACCCAGAGACCCTAACCCCACCCTACACCCCTCACAGACCCCAGCCCTACCCTTCTCCCCACCCCCCCATCTTCTGTGGCACTGAGGTTGGAGGAGAGTGTGAATGATGTGTTGGGCATGGCAGTGTGTCCTGTGGGATCCTCACGGCGTCCTCCTTGCCGGCAAAAGGACTGGAACGTTGCTTAGTCCATAGAGTGCAGGGTAATCTCTGTCTGCTAGGTTGTAAATACGTCACTCTCTCGCTCATTTTTCTATCACGTTCTAAATCAGCATGGCTGTGTGGCTCTACGCCACGTGCTTCTCGCACCATTACCGAACACCGCCACTGCGTAAGCCCCTCAAGCTGAGCACAGAGCGCGAGTTAAACGCCAGCAGAACGCCCATCACTACTGGCTCACTTTCGTGGGGATAGGTTTACAAATGTGAAATCGGACGGGAAAACAATGGAGAAGCACATAAGAGTGCGTTAATAAAACGGTAAATATTTGCGACCTCATATGGTCATTGTTACAGAGCTTCTTTCATGTAATCTCCTACCCACTATGTCCCACCCAAATCATATGCCTAAAGGAACAAGAGATCAAGACCCCCAAATGATACGCAAAAGAGAAATGGGCAGGAAGACCTCCCCCCCCCCCAACCAGATTGCATGCCATACAGAATCAGGAGCGAAGACACACCAATTCAAACAGGGAGAGAAGACCCCTGATTCACAAACTAACTCAAACAGGGAGCAAAGACCCCTAAATCACGAACAAACCCATATGAAAAGAGAAAGACCCCTGATTCACACACCAACCCAAACAGCGGGTAAGGGGCCCGTTACCCGAGCTGCCCCTTGGAGGCCCGATGGGGGGGGGGCAGCACATGCACCAGTCCCCTGGCTGGCTACCCGTTGCCACACCGCAGCACATGCTGCAGGATATAAGTAACTTCGAATAAAATCTGCCCATTTCTTTTTTCATCCTACAGACCACTGTTTCTCATCACTCAAAACAAGAAAATGTCGCTTATAGACTCCATGGGCCGACCAGTCCCCTTTGCCTGTATATCAGGTACTTGAGAACGAGCTACTGTAATCATAAAGCATGTGTCTTGTTTTAGAAATTATCTGAATAGCAGAAACAGGCTGCAAGAGACAGCACCACTGACTGTGAGAGATCTCCATATTATAGCGAGGGCACCACTGACTGTGAGAGATCTCCATATTATAGCGAGGGCACCACTGACTGTGAGAGATCTCCATATTATCGCGAGGGCACCACTGTCTGTGAGAGATCTCCAGATTAAGAGAGAGAACCACTGACTGTGAGTGATCTCCATATTATAGTAAGGGCACCATTGACTGTGAGAGATCTTCAGATTACAGAGAGTGAACCACTAACTGTCAGAGACCTCCAGATTATAGAGAGGGCACCACTGACTGTGAGAGACCTTCATATTATAGATCGGGCACCACTGACTGTGAGAGATCTCCAGATGATAGAGAACCACTGACTGTGAGAGATCTCCACAATATACAGAAAGCACCACCAACTGTGACAGATCTCTAGATTATAGAGAGGGCACAACTAACTGTGAGAGACCTCCAGATTATACAGAAAGCACCACTGACTGTGAAAGATCTCCAGATTATACAGAAAACACCACTGCCTGTAAAAGATCTTCAGATTATACAGAGAGAACCACTGACTGTAAAACATCTCCAGATTATACAAAAAGCACCACTGACTGTGAGAGATCTCCGGATTACACAGAGAGCACCACTGCCTGTGAGAGATTCCCATATCATAGAAAGAACACCACCGGCTGTGAGAGATTTCCAGAATAGGGAGATGTATCAACAGCTTTGATCCCCTTACATGCCAAAGCAATAAAAGCTTATGTTAAAAAGGCTGGAAAAGTCATAAGAGACAAAGGATTCCCTAGCTGCCTCGATGGTGCACTTCAATGTTAGTAACAATTATTTATACTAAATAGTAACTGTTACTGTTATACATAGATACATTACATGCATGGCAAGCTGCACTGCATTGGTGGTAAGATTTGCCTCATTTATTGATTAAATTGATATGATAATAAAGTTCCTACACCACAAACTCTTATAGTATTGTAGCTTTTGTACATATTTTAACAGTATCACTGAATGCTTATTTTACATACACTAAAATTAGGTAAATAAATATGTTACAATCTATTTTAGTGTATGACTATTTCAGCAAGTTTTGTCTGTTAGATGTTGTGTTTTTCAAGGAATCCATTAGATGGCAGACACATACAGTAAAAGCACTGGTGTCCTTTCACTGTCCGCTCACTGGCAGACTGCTTCCGGGACCCGTGAAGCTCCACTGCTCTGCTTGACAGTCCTCCGGTGGAGAGAAATTCACTCAGATCTCCAGTGAATTATGAGACGCTAATTCATCACTCTCAGCTGTGTTCTTCAATTAATGAGGCTGGTCCACAAACTCATCTGGCCGCACTGCAGACTGGATGTGCCAAAGAACTCCACCTTGGGATAAGGACCCGCAGTGAGCCCAGAACGTGACCGTCCACATCTTACAATCCGGGGCTCAGATTCCTTTGGCCAAGGCTGCAATGAGAGCCAAGCCAGAGTACACAGTGCACTAATCGAGTCTGGAGTACCCCGAAACTCATGAAAATTCAGGGGTTTCCTTTTGTTGCCGGCTGGCAAATGTGGTTCTTCGGAGCGTGCGTTTCTCAAACCCTTCCATTGCTGCGTGTTAGCTGCTACTTAAGTACTAGCGCTGCGGCGTGTGGATGTCAGAGACACCGGCACCCAAGCCAAATGCGGTAGGGAGAGAGCTCCTCCAGCGGGTCGTAAGTGACATCAGTCTAAGAGAACCGCCTTTAATGTGGGGTTGGACTGATCGGCGTGACATTATTTGGGCCTTTTTTTTAAACCACCGCCTATATTTTTCAAGACGTTTGTTAGCTATCGTGACACGCCGAATGTGTTTTTCGTGAAAATAAAATGGCACATTGTTTGTTTGAAGAGAGCAGGCGGCAGATTTCACGCCAGTTTTTTTTTTCTGGAGGGGGAAAATTAACACTTAAACAATGCGCCCTTTCAGCCGAAGAAGGCTTTGTCGTCTTTGCGTGCAGATTTAGTGCGTAACCTTTGCCCAAGAGTGAGGTGGTGATCCCAGAGAAGGCTCTAGGGGAGGAACTACACTTGGTACTGAGTATCAAACTTACCATTGCTCGCTAACCCTACAGGTGACTAGTATCACGTTACACTGCACGTGTTCTTTATTTTGACATTAGGTGGCGTTCAGATGGAAAATGTTCGGAATGGTCTGGGGTGACAACAGAGAAGGAAACAGTCTATGTTTATGGACCTTTAGTTTACTGACAGTGTAGTTTAGGGTCAACCACAGGGTCAGGGTGCTCTTCTCAACAAAGCCAGCCTCTAGTTGAGTATTGTAGGGTCAGCAAGCTGCCTTTTGCTAGCAGAGGTCGTTAACATCTTCCAGCATGCTCCGCATGAGTTGTAAATAGCCTTGTCTGCTGTCATGGTAAATAGCTGTGCTGTGTCCCCGACTGTCACGTGAGCCCTTACTTGTGTTTGTACATGATCCTTGTCTTGCCCTCACGCTTTTCTTCACAATAACTCATCACCGTATGTGCAACATGTAGATTGTAACGGGACAAGTAAATGTAGAAAATGGATGGATGGAGTATTATAGAAATCAGTTTTGCTTTGAGTTCTTTTTTTAGTTAATAATAAGCGTTTTAGGCTTCTTTAAAGCTAAGCTAATTTAATGCAGCGTGTGATCTGTCATTGTGCCGTAGAAGATAACAGCTCTGGTGAGCGGGAACTGTCAAGAAAACCAGGTTGATGGAGACCTGGAATGACATAGGGTCGTTACAATTTCACTCTTGGGTTCTCGGCCTAATTGATCATCGGCCCAAGATTTTTCACTCTCGGCTGCGAGTCTGGCCCAAGTGACAGTGATGACAAGCACAGCAAGACATTTTTGTCTTTCTTTGTGGTGAAAGCAGATCTGGGATTCTCCTGGTCTGCAGGGCAGCTGTGTAGCCTGTCCCCCTGCATGAGGATGTTGGCATCCTCCCACACGCAAGCAGACGATAGAAACCTTGTGACATTTGGACATTAAGTGAACCAGCTTCTCCCGATTCGGTGTTCAGTTTCAGAGAACTATGGAAAAGCAGGGTTTTGATTTGTGCTGCTGGGAGTATGACCAGTTGACCACCTGCCCTGAACACTTCACACTTTGTACTCATGATTAATACATAATGTTACTCAAACTGTCTAGACTGACAAATAATCCAACCCCCCAAGAAACAGCCAACAGGGTGGAGTTCAAGAATTTTTCCTACTAGCCACCTGGGCTAGTTCAGTAAAAGATGCAGTCCAACATGCTTTTTTTTTTTTTACTAGCCAGAGGGCTCGTTCAGTTTTTTGTACTCGGTCTTCGTCTAAATTCCCTGTCTCAGGGGAGGGGGTGGGCTTAATGTCCCCCCCTGCAGGAATGTCTAGGCCTCCAGTAGGAAACCTGCACAGGTACAGGGAGTTCAACTTCACACCCCCAGAGCTGGTCAAGTGCGAACATGACCAATCGATATTCAACAATGAGAGACTGTGGATGTCAGCTGACCCCGTCAGCAAATGATCTTTATTGTGATAGGACAGATAACACAGCAGCACTTGCAGATTGTATCATGACCGGGCCGACTCCAGGACGGTCCAATCAGATACGAGCCCTTCAGGACCGTCAAATCAGATACCAGCCCTTCATCTCCCCACGCTTTATCTTCCCATGTTTGTTTTGTTCTGCCGCCGGCAATCAATTTTGCCAGCAATTAGTGGTTTGGATCTATATCGCCCTGTGGATGGTGTTTGATAATTGTTCTTGGGTGATGTATTTACTGTGCACCACATAAATGAGGAGCACGACATAGAATGTATATTAATTAATGTGGCTCTCGATGGTTAGGTTTTAGCCAATTGTTTAATTTTTGTGTTTTGACCGGAAATATGTTGCGGAGGTGCCGACCTTTGTTCCAGACCACTGTCTCTGGATGATTTAACAGATTATTGAAAAGAAATTACATTTTGAAGATGAACCAGGAGAATAATCACCTCCCCCCCCCAAACTCATGTCAAAAAACATCACGGCAACAGGGTCTAAATCAGGAATGACAGCCATGTCTTCACTCTCGTCTGTGTTTGTGCTCTGCCGAGTTGTTGTTCAGTCCTGTCCTTGCCGAGATCTCCAGCGACCGCAGAGTGTGGGGGGGTTAGGGGGCTTGTCACCCTGATATTGATGACCGGCGCTGGCAAACAGGCATGACTGATGGTCGGGCGAAGACAAACCCTACCCAGACGTCGACGCTAATTATTAATCCTTTTGATTTAGTCTCTCTTGACGAGCACCTTCTCCATCTGGGGCGATATCCATCAAGCTTGCTTGTGCTTCAGTATCAGTTTTCACACAGTTGGGCCGGTTAATTTTTTACTTTTGTGCCCTGCGGTGCCGTCCAGCGACCGCCCTCCTCTCGATCACCCCTGGCCTTCCCAGCCGCCCGGTTTGACTGACGATCGGCTTTGTTTGCTGGTGGCTGTGGGGGCCTCATTTTTGGTGCCTCCATACAGGGTCTCTCCTGCGTCTCCATGGGGCAACTCAGACCAAACACTTGTGTCACAGAGAGCTGTGCTGTTTCCTCATACTGTGGCGACAAAATACGGGGCTCACCTTCATGTGGGCGTGAGGGCAGCTAAAATAAGGCTGAATGCAGAGCCGCGTTGAACTGAACTCTCGTCCTGTGTCTGTGTTCGATTCAGGCACCAGGATGGATGGTGTAATGAAGAGCCTCCCCATTACTAAGGATAAGTATTAACATCATGTATGCATAGACAATAATGTAGGCGATTGTACACTAATGTTAATGCTTTATTTGTGGCAGTGGGATTCCTTTTCTGGGTCGAGGAGGCCTACAGAAAGAAGCATCATTTAGCTTAAGTTACAATGAATAAAAATCAAGCAAGGAGGCAGAGAATTCATGGGCTTACCTTGTGGATGGCTTGTGGGCGTCGAGTAAAAGAGGCCTTGGGTTGTTTGAGCCCTTATTTATGGTTCCGGGATCAACCATTAGTAAAAGAGATGGATGTTTGTAGGTTTTTGTAAACTTAGTAAAAGAGATGGATTTTTAAAGGCTTTTGTGAACTTCACTGGGAGGATATGCTTTGTAAATATAATATGAATTTAACTGTCTGTTAGGCCTGTCAAGAAAAATAATAAGATTAGTTTGGATGGGAGGTGTGGAATACCCACCTATTGATGGTCTGATCCAGGGCCTAATTGCTGATCAAGAGGGGGTTCTGTTCTTCCTCCTGCTGGAAAAGTTGGAGCTGATTTTTTTTTTTTTAAAGCCTCTATATATATATACATATATATATGTAAGTTTTTGTATGTTCACTGGGATGCATAATAAATTGCTGGGTTTTGCACACCACAGTGTCTCTGTTAAGCCTGGCTACTCAGTCGGTATAACAGATAGTCAGACTCAAAGAACTTAGCACATTAGCAAAATCAAGACTGAAAATAAGAGGCTATGACTATTGTCAGATTTGTTTATGCATTTCCACCAAAAATAGCCTCTGCTCTACATTGGTGGCAGTATTCTGCAGTTATTACCAGTAAACTAACTGGGTGTCTTGCAGACAAGGCCCCTTCAGTTCATCTTCAGCACCCCCAATACCCATAATCCTTTTGCTGTCAGGTGCTAAATCCATGACAAGCGGCTGATTTTTTGGCCTGCCATCCTGAAGATCATGTCATCCCCCATCATTTCCTCATTCCTTCCGTTTTATCCAAAGGCCGCTTCACGCACCCTCATCCCATCCTCGGTGGGCCACCTCAAAGGTGGGGGCATTATTCCGGGTGATATTCCCGGCACAGTCCCGCCGTCGGGACAGGTAGTGCAGAGGATATTCTGATAGTTTGATTTTCTGACTTCTTGGAGGGTTGAGTGCCTCTGGCAATCATTGGAAAGAAAAACAACATTGATGAATAAGAGGAACTTGGCGACTAAGGAATACGGAGAAAAAAACTCC